ACTTTGCTGCTGTTTCTAAGACTTACCTGCTTCCTATGATGGTTTCTCTCTTCACGTAAACCGAGACTCGCCTCGTACTCGGGCAGCTGTAGTAGGGTCGTTCTGTCGTCTCGTGAGGTCAGAGGTGAATAGTGGTGTGGTCAAAGGTCAAATTGTTTCCCTGATTACCATGATGATATATTTTATTTCTGCCGGCACTTTAGCATGATTATTAATGTTTCCTACTGCAAAAACTCAACAATATGTGTCAGTATTGTTTACATGTTAACAAAATCAATTATATCTACATACTATTAGTTCTGTTTGGCGGCCATGAAAGTTAAAAACTATTAGAATTAGTAGTGTGACAGTCTATTCCACACTCCCAGTTGGCAATGAAGACAGAGAGGACTGTATTTGGATGCAACTGAACTGTATTCAAAGATGTGTTGTACTCATCCAGTTTCAACTGGTTCCCTGAGGTGACCTCTGTAGGTCACTGGACTGTCCTATTCTACTGGGGGGAGGGTATCTTTGAGGTCTTAAAGTAGTACCATCAACCCACTGCCCCTACGGCCTGAAACGGTTATAGAACCAGGTTCTAATATAGATTACAAAACGATGTGAAAGCAGTGAACATATTTAATTGCAGTAGCAGTAAATATTGGCATTACAGATTCCAAGATATATTTTAACTTCAGTTGGCGGGGGTAGCGACAAGAGGGGGGGGGGGCATATACTAGTAATAGAAGGATCAACATGTTCTCACTAACATCTGCTTGGAGAGTAATATGTAATAACTTCACTAAAAATCACATCTAGATAATCACAAACTGTGCAGCGTAACAAGATTGTGGAGAACTGTTTAATCTAAGAACGTCTGAGAAAAAATTCTGTGTTGCTAGGAAAATAAATGAATTGATATAACAGTTCGCCCGGTAGGCTCCACGCACTGCAAGAGGACTGAGTGAGTGAGTGAGTGAGTGAGTGAGTGAGTGAGTGAGTGAGTGAGTGAGTGGATTTACTCAACCATAACTTTTAAAACGCCTATAGAAAATGATACCAATAATCCAGAACTTCTTCTAGGTTTACTTAGACCATACCAATTCAATTTGTTGGTTTATTATTACCTCCATGAAAATTGAGGTACTTTTTTTGTGTGTGTGTGTGTGTGTGTGTGTGTGTGTGTGTGTGTGTGTGTGTGTGAGTGAGTGTGTGTGTGTGTTTCCGCACATTTGTATTCAGCATAACTTCAGAACGCCTTTATGGATTGTGATGATATTTGGTAAGCTGGTAGGCCTTAGGAAGCCAAAGGTCAAGGTCAATATCCAGGCCAACGGTGCTACTGTATGTTTGAAACCAAAAACCTGTGCTATTTTGTTCTGTACTGTTAAGTGTACTGTGTAAAAACATTTACAAACACTCAAACTATGTTTCATGGAGGTATGAGATCTCCAAATTCTTGTTTAAGAATGAATTCAAACTCATGATCAAACCAATGCAATGATAGATGGAACAAACAGAATCATAAAACATCATAAATCAGATAGAGGGTCGCTATCTCATTAATTTACTAGATAGTGAACCTTACATTCTCCTTTTAGTGAATCAATGAGATAAAGTGTCGCTATCTCATTAATTCACTAGATAGAAAACAGAATTCTCCTTCTAGTGAATTAAGAAGATAGAAGGTCGCTTTCTCATTATCATTAGAGAGGGAACCACAAAATTTTCTTCTAGTGAATTAATGAGATAGATCGTACTCCTTACACTACTTCGTCGTGTCCTGACTGTTTCGCCGAGCTTCCTGTGTTCGGCTGTCGTAAACGGCCTCATTTAACACCAAACCCACAAGAAGTGTCAGAACCAACATGTTAACACCTGTTAGCATATACATCTGAAAACTTCAACATTAGTCGCACATACATCCCCAGGCTTGTCACTTTTTGGAACAAATTAAGCTCTGACCTCCGTTGTAGTGGTGAACGAGCAGCTCATCAGCCGGATATTATATCATTCAAACACGAACTACTCAAGACCACCTACAAAAGATCTAACACACATAGCAGTCTTGACCTCCCATGTACTTCTTGTGGGTGCAGTTCTTGCATTGTCACCTAAGTTCTTGTATCAACATGATTTATTCCCACCTATTATTAGGTATATTTGAATTATGCTTAACTTGTTATACTTATTATATTTATTGCTTGAAGTTCTCTCCATTCCCTACAAAATAGTATGGAAAGCTCCAATCAAGAAACTGTGTTTAAGGCGTGTACAGAGACTATCCTACTCCACAGCTCTGAGTCATGGGCTATGAATGCTGCCCAGAATTACATATACAAGTTTGTTAAGAACAGTGTATAATGTTTCATGGAGACAACATCTAACAAACAAACAACTCTATGGCTCTCTCCCGCCCATTTTATCTGTAGTCCGATGATGTAGACTCGCCCTGGCAGGGCATGTTGCTCGTAGTAACGAACCAGATACCACACTACGTTCACATTTTTCAACGTGTATATAGAACACAATATCCGACATTGTGTTAGACACCTACGACAAAACCTCTCTACACAGTAACACGGCTCCACGACCTTCTTATTACATGCCATGACTGACACACTGCTCCATACCTATGCGTTTACACTCTTTTATATCCATGCACACGCACTCTTTTATATTCAGACACACATTCACCCATTCAATCACATCCATTCATCAATCCAAACACTGAGTCGGACACATGTCAATTTTCAATCCTTCCTACATTCATGGTGCAGGCATCTTTATTATCGATCAACATCATCATCATCATCATTATCATTATTAATAATATGTTTATTACAAATTCATACCCGAGGACAGGAACAAGAGAAACATATGGTTTAAAACAGACAAATGGCACACAGAGAATTACATGTACTGACAACTCCTAGGAAACTACTAGTAAAAACTACTAGGTTTATTATCATTAGAACTCAATGCCCTCGATGACTTCCAAGTCGAGGGGCGACTTGCCTTTGGACATATTCCCCAACACCCAGTCCACGGTGGTTTTTCGCTGCTCTAAAACCTCCCAGTTTTTTAAAGACAACGATATGCCCTTCACCGAGCGCCTGAGATTACAACTGTTGTCACCCCCGCCATCCTGCCCACTACCCTCGTACTGGTACAGCCCAATGCTGGGCTGCACCTGCACCATCTCCACAACTACATAGCGCATGGAGCCTATTGCAAACATGCGTGGCTTCTGTGTGGTAGTGGCAGGCAGACCCGGGAAGCATAGGTCAACAAGAATTCCGAGATCTCATACCTCCATGAAATATGGGCTTGATATGTAAATGTATATTTTTTCCTCTTTAATTATGCAAATTACATCCGCATTAACATGATATATGCATCGTGATGTACAATGTATGTTAACTTTTGATTAACTTACAGATGTCCAAAGTATGACATTCCCATTATTCACCATTAAGAAATCATAGAATTTTTGCATAAATTATGCAAATTAGGTCATCATTTGCATAATTAGTATCTGTTGATGTTCTGCCTGCCATAGGTTACATACATTACATGTATGAAAGTAGTATAATGTAAAACACTGTAATTATAGAATTTCCTCATTAATTATGCAAATAAAGTCCTCATTTGCATAATTTGCATTTAATTATGTACATCTCTCTCTTAGCTACCTACACACCAAAAATTATAAAAATATGTTGTTCCTATCTGGACTTATTGGCTTTTAAACATTTCGCCAGAAAGTGCCCTGCAGTTCCAAAACAAGCTGCTAGGGGGACCAAACTCACACCACTTATTCCTGACAGGAAAACCAATCTGTCACCAAAACATCAAGACCATAGCATTTTCAGGACAAAAGATACAAAAACCGGAAGTTCTGCTGCAGTACCAAGGTCATCCACCAGGAGGCCCATATTTGACCTTGACGTTTGTCTTCCTAAGACTTACCAACATACCGAATATCATCATAATCCATAAAGGCGTTCTGAAGTTATGCTGACCACAAAGTTGCGGAAACACAGACAGACAGACACACACACATACATACATACAGACAGACACGCCAAAAACAATACCTCCATTTTTCATGGAGGTAATAATCGCGGCATACACCGCAGCGCTTTTTAGGGCCTCCCACTAGAGACACCTGGCCTCAGCGTTGTGCGGTCCTTACACCCCCGTCACATTGCGCGTAAATCGATCGGCCGACTAGTTGGCGAGCTCTAAACGACATTTACGGCCGTAGAACGCCCGATGTTCCGTCGAGCATCGCGCGAATTTTCGGGATCGCCGACGATTTTTTGGAGTCGGCCGAAGCTCGCTGACACGCGAAACGTGTTCTTAACATCAGCGACTAGTCGCCGGCGATTTTTGAAGTCGCGTAGCTCGTTTCCAGCTCGCGCGTAGCTCGCCTGTAGCTCGCCCCTGTGCGGCCGAGAGTCGACCGATATTCGGACGTACATCCCACGAGTCTCGGCCGTATTTCGTCTTTGAAAATCGGGCGACGGTCGCTGAATACGGTCGACCCTCGCGCGAGCTTCGCGAAATATTCGGGCGACCCTCTTCCGTACCTCGCCCGACTTGCGCAAAGTTTTTTAAATCGTGCGTGCTTCGAGCGAGCTTCGTGCCAGTGTCGGACGAAGGTTCTGCGAGCCTCGGCCGAGCTCCTGTGAAGTTATAATTTATTCAGCACCTGTGACATTTATTTCAGATTGCATTGACAGTATACTGTGCAAAGTTTGCAGGAGCAACGTCCTACCGATTGTTAACGTTATGTTTACGAGAAAGTATAAAAATAGACAAAATCGTCCGTTTTGTCCTTTTGTTACATCAACATTCGTTAATAAACAAAAGCACT